AGCCCCAGCGGCCAGCCTTCCCGCCCCAGAGCCGATGCGTCACAGGTGCGCGGCTCACTCACAGATCTCCCCGGTGCGAGAATTTAAGGCCGCAATCACGTTCTTCTCTGTCGCCACAACCAGCTTCTTGGATCCAGGGGAAAATTCCAGTGACGCGAACTTAAGCTTCCCAACATATTGCTGTCTCCTGAGGAAAGAGTGCCGGGGGCAAATAAGGGACTCAAATCGTCATGTGCAAATGCTGCGGCCTCGGACAAGCCACGAGGTCACCACCACCTCGCTCCCGAGGACCCTAAGAAATGCTAGTCGCTCACAGACGAGGCTTAAAGACCCCCATGCCGTGCAGAGGCACGGGAGCCGAAGAGTGACTGACCTTCCAGAAGAAGAGCAAGGCGACAGGCCCGCTCCCAAGGGCAACGCACAATGACCCCAAGAAGAGGGACATCCGAAAGCGCGTGCCTGACCACGCTGGAAGAGAAGCACGTGGCCCTGTGCGACCAGCGATGGGGAGATGATGGCTGACAAATGAGAAGGGGCATAGCCCGCCTTCACCGTCCGACCTTCCCTTCTGCTGTCTCCAAGCCCTGGAGGAGAGCGCGTGTGCTCACGCCACAGAACCCTGGAGACTGGCTGGGCCGACCCTCACCCTGGGGACCGACCCAAATGCCTCGGTGCTCATGCGCTGCGTGTGCTGTGTCCCTATCAGGGCCCCTGAACCAGCATGAAGGGAGTAGGAGCCGCTTCCTTCGCCTGGTAAACCTCCGTCCCTGCACACTGCAGTTGATGAAGCAGTACCAAGCCCAGCAACATCAACACACGAGGCCTTGATGGGAGGGAGGCGCTTGGCAAGATGCTGTTTGAGCTACTTATTTATTTTTAAAAGATTTTCTATATTGACTGGAAAGGCAGATACGTGGAGAGACAGAGGGAGAGCTTTCATCAGCTGGCTCACACCAGGATGAGGCCAGGCCTGAGGCAGGAGCCAGGACCTTCACTGGGGTCTCCCACGTGAGGACTTGGGACAAAATAACCAAGCCACCTTCTGTTGCTTCCTCAGGTGCATGAGCAGGGAGCTGGATCAGAAGTAGAGCAGCTGGGTCTCAAACCAGCAGCCATACGGGGCACCAGTGTCACTGGCAGCAGCTTCGCCTACTCTATGAGAGCACAGGTGCTGGCCTCGCTCTCCACGTGCTGGTGTTGTGGTACACAGCATTTAGGCACCATCTGTAGTACCAGCATCCTGCACTGCATGCCAACTTCAGGCGAAGCTGCTGTCTCGGATCCAGTTCCCTGCTAACTCACCTGGGAAGTCAGCGGAAGACGGCCCAAGCGCTTGGGTCCCTGTCACCCACAGGCGACCTCGATGGAGCCTCTCAGATCCTGGCCTTGCCCGGCCCATCATGTGGGGAGTGAACCAGTACATACAACATCTCTCTCTCTCTCTTACTCTTTCAAATAAGTAAACCAATATTTAGAAATAAGAAGAAATTAAGAAGACACAGTAAAGCGTTATGTATGACGTTTGACAGTTTATATTCATATTTTACATATTTCATTCATTTAAAAAAAATTTAATTTTATTTAGTTGAAAGGCAGAGTTTGAGCTGGTGAGGTGGCTCAACAGGCTAATCCTCCACCTCCAGCATCCCATATGAGTGCCGGTTCTACTCTCAGCTGCCCTGCTTCTAATCCAGTTCCCTACGTATGGCCTGGGCAGGCAGCAGAGAAGGGCCCAAGTCCTTAGGATCCTGCACCCACATGGGAGACCCAGAAGAAGCTCCTGGCTCAGCTCTGGCTGTGGTGGTCATCTGGAGAGTGAAGCAACTGACTGAAAATCCTCACTCAGTAAATCTGCCTTTCAAATAAAACAAATCCCTTTATTAGAAAAAAAAAAAAAAAAGGCAGAGTTGCAGAGAGAGAGAGATTCCATGCACTGTTTCAGTCTCCAAATGGCTGCAGTGGCCCCAGAGCTGTGCCAGGTTAAAGCCAGGAACTTCATCTTGGTCTCTCACTTGGGTGCAAGGGCCCAAGGACTGGGGCCACCCTCCACCGCTTTGTCAGGCACGTTAGCAGGGAGCTGGACCAGAACTAGGGTAGGGTAGGCACACTGGCTCAACTGGCTAATCCTCCACCTCCAAGCAGCACATTCCTTATGGATGACAGTTTGTGTGCCAGCTGCTCCACTTCCCAACCAGCTCCCTGCTTATGGCCTGGGAAATTAGCAAAGGATGGCCCCAAACCTTGGAACCCTGCACCCACATGGAGACCCAGAGACGGTTCCTGGCTTTGGATCAGATCAGCTGTGAACCAGTGGACGGGAAGATCCTTCTCTATGTCTTTCCTTCTCTCTGTAAATCTGCCTTTCCAATTAAAACAAACCAAAAAACCCTAGGGCAGCCAAGACTCGAACCTATATGGGATGCCAGCGTTGCTTAACTTGCTATGCTACAGTGCCAACCCTTATATACTTCTTTCTCACTGTACCCACTGAGGAGCCCTACGAAGTGCAGAGGGCAAATAGTACTGCCCTCATTTTACGTTTGAGGAAACAAAGTTCAGAGAGATTATCTAATTCTCATCAGAATTAGAACTAAGGCCTCGTGACATTAGTCCCCCCTCCTGCTCCATTCTCTCTTTTAAAATACTGTTACAGGGAATGAGAACTGGACATGGCGGCAGACACCGAGTGGGTTGCCAGGAGCCCACAACTGAGGGCCTGGGCTTGAAGGCCAGCTCTGCTTCCAAGTCCACCTTCCCGCAAATGCACTCCATGGGAGGCAGCAGGTGAGGGCTGGAGCACCTGGGTGCTCCCCACCCACATGCACTGCATTCCGGGCTCCTGGGATCAGCCTGGCACAGTCCCAGGTGTTGCAAGCACTTTTTTTTCCCTTCCTTTCAAATAAGTAAAATGAATGAGTAAATAAAATTTAAAATGTTTTCTTGACTGTAAAGGTTGTACTTGCTCATGATGGAACGTTTCAAAAAAATATATAAAAAAGAAAATACAATCTAAACTACCACTATAATATATTAAATTATTTCCCAACATACCTAGGCTAAAATTCTCAACTCCTCCTGCAATAGGATCTTCAAAAAGGGGACTGAAGGAGCCTTTGGCCCAGCAGAGATACACAGAAGGAGAGACAGAGAGATGTAGATGCTGGTGGAGGCTCCACTGCCGACCCAGCTCCCTGCTCAAGTGCCTGGACCCCTTTACCCAAGTGGGAACCCTGGAAGAAGTTCCAGGCTCCTGGCTACGGAGTGGCCCAGCTCCTGCTGTTGTAACCACTTGCAAAATGAAACAGCAGATGGAAGACCCCCCCCTCTCTCTCTCTCTCTCTCTCTCTCTCTCTAGCTCTCCTTTCAAATAAATGAATCTTAAAAGGAGGAGGAGGAGATGTGTACTGCAGAGAAAGGTGCGGGCACAGTGAGGAGGGGCTGTCTGCAGGTGAACCCCAGGGGACTCAGAGGAACCAAATGTGTCCACAGCTTGACCCTGACTTTGACTTGACTTGCAAGCACTAGAACTTCAAGAAAAGGAACTCATTGTGTTCAAGCATTTAGTCTACAGTATTTCATTACAGCATCCCAAGAAAACTTACGCAGCACCACCACAGATACACACGTTTAAAGTTCCGGTCTTTCATGTTTCTGTTTGCAAACTGCACAGACTTAATATTTCAGCTCAACAGTAATCCCCTAACATATATGTGTCACATATGCATGCCAGGACACATATGCATGACACAGACTTCAATTGTTACAGTGTCAAGGGTACAACAGGCACTCAACAAACATAGACTAATGCGCCAATCTGAGACAGAAAAAACCTTCTCAGAGGAGACAGGTGCACTGGATACTGGAAGTTGAACACAGCAGCACACTTGCCGGGTAACATCTCCCCACACTTCTCAGGGAGGATTTACTTGTGTTACATGACTGCAAGAAACCATCTCATTTATTTTCACAACTACCAGAGGATAACATGAACTGCCAGTAAACTCATTTCACAAATAAACAAACCCAAGGATGGAGCTAAGTCATTTTCCCCAAGACCATACAACCCTTAAGTGATCAAACAGTATGGCACAGAAGCCAGCAGGCTGCAGGGACACGACTAGAGAAGTGAATGAATGAGCAGCATTTTGGGGTGCCCAAGTCCCCGATGGGCTAAAGAAACGAAAGAATCCAGGGCTTATACATATATTCTCATAGATGAACTGTGTAATAGAGACCAGCATCCCGGGAAGTGAAGACACGTTGCAGTAGGCATCTCTACTGCCGAATGCAAGGAATGCCTTGACAATCCCATGCTAGGTTCTCTTACCATTGTCCATACCTACAGCGCCAGGATGCACCCACGCAGTGGAAAGTGAAACTTGTTACTGTTAGCAAAGGACAAAATCACTGTAACAACACGGGGGAGGGGGGAGAGGGAAGGGAGGAAAACCATCATAACAACTAAAGCATTTAGAGAAAAAGAGACGCCAGGTGGAGGAGGAACGTTCTCTGAGCGCTGGACCTCCGACACCTGCCGGGTCAGCCGCCTGCGACCGGAGCTCCACGCGCGCCTGCACCCCGAGGCCGGCTTTCGGGCGTGCAGCCAGTGCGGTCACACAGCGCCCAGCTTAGCTGACCCCCCCAACGCCTGGTTCAGTGCACCCCGACTTCAAACCCCTCGTTTCCCAACACGGGCGCCCGAGTCCATTCCGCACGGGAGCCCACCGAGGCAGGCAGCCGGCCCTGCTGCACGGTCTCCTCCCTCCCTGCAGCGCGCAGGAGACAGCACGCACGCAAGCACGCACCAGTCAAACTTGCCCACTTGGTCCTCGTAGACCGCGGCCGCGGGGACGAACAGCGCGGCCAGGAGCCAGAACCGAGGAGCGAGCGGCGCCATGACAGGCGCTGAGGTCCCGCCCGCCGGCCCGGCGTGCACCGGGTCGCAGGCTCCGCCTTCCGGGGGAACCATAGAGAGGAGGCGGCTGGCGCGGCCTCGGGGTGGCGGGGTCGCCCGAGCACGGCGCTCGGCGCACACGTGGGCGGTGGCGCGGTGAGGAGAGCCCGCCGGCCGAGCTGACTGGGACAGGCAGCCGCGAGGACAGCCTGCCGGGGCCGTTCCAGAAGCCCCCGCGCCGCTGCTCCGCCTTCCGCCGCACGTGGCTGCAGCGCGATGCCCAAATCCAAGCGCGACAAGAAAGGTGGGGAGGCCTGGGGTCCCCGTCGCCTGGGGAGCTGGGATGGGCTGATGAGCGGGCTGTCGGGGAGCCGGGCTGGGCTGATGGGCTGTCGGGGAGCCGGGCTGGGCTGATGAGCTGTGGGGGAGCCGGGCTGGGCACGCGCGGCCTGGCGTGCCGGGGGACGGCTGCGAGCGCCCAGGCTCTATGGCCTCCCGCCGCCCCTTTTCCTTTCCTTGGCCGCCCTCTCCCTGCCCACGGCACGGGCTGGTCCCACGCCCGACTTTCCGGCCCTGGCCGAGTAAGCCCCTGCCGTCTTCACGTGGCTGGCTCCCCAGGGCATCGGGGGATCCGTAGCAGATTCGACAAACCCTATAGGGGTTCTGGGACTTGGCTGGGCCCCATAAGGAAGGCTTGGCTTGTCACGTGTCTCCCCCGAGAAAAACGGATGCCAGATCAGTATAGCGTTGGCTTCCGTCAAGTGGGGAAAGTGGCATTCCGTGGATCGTGGTCAGGGAGGGACCCCTGGTGAGTGGACCAGGAGCAGGTAGCCTGTGGGGTGTCACCTGTGAGGGCGACGTACGGTGGTCCATGGGACCTGAGGCCGGTGTGTGTGGCCCGGGGGAGCCCTCGGGGTCGGGATTGGGCAGCGGTTGGGGGCTGGGAGTATGCATGGCCAGCCTGGACTTAAGCAGAGGGACCATGCCGTGTAACTGCTTCCAAGGCTCGCTGGAGGCCAGGCAGGGTGAGGCTCGCTGGGTGACAGCGTGAGAAGTAACTGAACTGTATGTCACTTGCACTGTGAGGTGGGATGCACCCTAGGGGACCCCTTGTTGGGGCGCCCGGGACACTGCCCAGGGTGCTGGGTTAAGTGCGGAGCGGATTCCCCAGAGGGGGCCTGGTCAGACCTGACAGATGCCAGCTCATTCGGGGTGGGGGACACATTGAACATGTTTTCACAGCAGAGGCACTTGTTCTTCTAAAGAGGCATTGCCACGTCCCTGGGTGCAGCTATGGAACAGCTGGGCTTGCCCTGGCTCCGGCCAGGCAGACCCGGCCTCTGTGTGTCATGGCCAAGAGCAAAACGAGGGCTGCTTGGGCAGGTCAGGGCTGCCCCGGAGAGAACAAGAGAAATTTGGGGCTTGGACAGGGCAGTGGGGCAGTGCAAGGAGCATCTGTTTGCCTAGCTGCAGGAGACATGTTAGGGGACCTCCAGCCCTGGGATACTGGGATACTGGGCTGCGCACTGGGCTAGCACTCTGCCTTCTCTTGGAGCGGCCTGGACTGGCTGAGCCGCAAAGGGGAGAGGTGCTGAGGCTCAGGGCGGCCACACACATTTCTCAGAGCATCCCGGTCCAGCTGAGCCACGGGGCAGCTGTTCAGATTTCTCATTGCCTTTGTTTTCTCTTGCATTAGTGTCCCTGACCAAAACTGCTAAGAAAGGCTTGGAACTGAAACAGAACTTGATAGAAGAGGTGAGTACCTGTTTGTCTCAGAGCTTGCACTGGAGTGCTTCCTAAGGAAGGGTTCAGGACTGTCCTTACACAAGAGAAAATGCAGCACCCAGCTGCCGGATACGGCCCTCTCCTCCACATGACGCAGGCAGGACTGGGCTCAGGAGGGCTTTGCAGCGTGGCTTGAGTCATGCTCCATGGCACGCAGGGTTCACCTGTGTTCTTCCACGCCATCCTCACGGCATTCCTGCAGGTAGACACCAGGTAGTGGGACCACTGGGACCACCAGAGATGGGGTAACTGAGCTTCGTGAGACGCGGTGGGGCCTGCTCACCGTCAGCCAGGGGTTCCCAGCGAGTGACTGCACTGCCTCTGACCTGCTGGCCTGGGCTAAAGCTGGGAGAGAGTGGGCTGTGCCAGTGCCCTGGCTTAAGGCTGGGGTTTCACCTGTGCCAACTCCGCTGGGACCAAAGGTGGCCTCACATTTCTGCTTAGCAGGCCCCTTCCCAGACTGGGTTGACCGTGGCCCAAACCAGGGAAAGTGTGGTTCCACTGTGGATCGAACATGAGGGGCAGGTCCTTCACAGGGCCCTCGTTTTCTTGGCAGAATGTTCTTCGGCAGAAGCTGGGGTGGGGTCCAGGTCAGTGGCTTGGCTTCCTCTGCCCTTGATGGCCCTGGTGTCAGTGTTGGAGGAAGGAGGTGACCCGCTTTAGGCGCCGCAGTGGAGTCTCCCGTTGGAGGCCGGGGAGGGGCCGGGCGGTCCCTGGACTCTCACGTTCTCCATGACTTACCCCGTAGCTGCGGAAATGTGTGGACACGTACAGGTACCTCTTCCTGTTTTCCGTGGCCAACATGAGGAACAACAAGCTGAAAGACATCCGAAACGCCTGGAAGCACAGCCGGTGAGCCAGGAGGGGGCAGGAGGTCTCGGGCAGCATGGGAGCCCTGGGAGTCCGGGAGCCTGGACAAAGACCCTCCCCTCCAGGCAGAGCACCCCCTCAGGTGGCAGTGGCACAGGGGTGGTTGAGATGTGGCCCCTTCATGCCGTAGCTCAAGCCTCTCAGGAGTACAGTGCCAAGTTTCCTGGCCGCAGTGACCGGGAGCAGGGTGCCATCCTGAGCTGGGTCCTGGAGGGGGTCTTTGGCCACAGCAGCTCTAGTTGAGGCTGTTACACTGTCCCTCCCTCGAGCCCAGGCTGGGAGGGTGTATACATGGAGCTGACACAGAGCCCCTGGACTGGGCACAGAGCATGGCAGGCTGTGTGAGCTGGGCATCCTTGCCCGTGCCTCCTGGGGGACTGCGCCCTGGCCTGGGTTGCACTTGACAGGGGGCAGGTCCTTCATAGGCCCCTCGTTTTCTTGGCAGGATGTTCTTCGGCAAAAACAAAGTGATGATGGTGGCTTTGGGACGGAGCCCGTCCGATGAGTATAAGGACAACCTGCACCAGGCACGTGGCTGCTTGTCCTCCCAGCGCGCCCAGACAGTCCTGGCTCAACCCCACTGCTCCCACACACGGGGTGACTCCGGGGCGGGAGACCCGGGCATGGGGTCCCTCTTAAGCTCCAGACTTGGGGAGTAGCCTGCTGCCTCTTCCTCCGTCCCCTGGTGGGTGGACACCACCCCCCCGAAACCCACTGCCCTGCGTGGGCATCCTGACACACCTTGACTTGCAGGTCAGCAAGAAGCTGCGGGGTGAAGTCGGGCTCCTCTTCACCAACCGCACAAAGGACGAGGTGCATGAGTAAGTGGGGGGCGGAGCACTGGAGAGGGGGAAGCGTGAGGGGGTCCCTGGGAGGGATAATGCAGGTGTGGAGTCGGAGCTGGTCTGCAGAAGTGTTCCCACGGGTGGGTGGGGACCAGGCTCGTGTGGGTCCTCTGCACTGAGCTGCCCGCTGGCTGTGGCCCGGGGCCTGGGAGGGGCGGCCTGCCGAGGGACCTCCCGCCCACTGCGGCCCTCTTCCCTAAGGTGGTTCACGAAATACGCTGAAATGGACTATGCACGAGCTGGGAACAAGGCCACTTTCACCGTGAGCCTGGACCCCGGGCCGCTGGAGCAGTTCCCACACTCCATGGAGCCGCAGCTGCGGCAGCTGGGCCTGCCCACTGCTCTCAAGAAAGGTATGGCCTGGCGCTGGAGCTGGTGGTCACCGCCAAGGACACAGGCGTCCAAGCGCTCCCAGAGCTGCTTCTGTTGCCACTGCTCGCTTCCCCTCCCCCGCCTGCATCTCCTCCCCACCCCCCAAGTTGATTGATTGGTTTTAAAAGTCAAAGAGTTATAGAGATCTTCCATTCTCTCTGCTGGTTCACTCCCAAAATGGCTGCAGTCACTGAGGCCGAAACTCCATCTGGGTGCCCCGTGTGGGCAGCAGGGGCCCAAGCACTGGATGAGCAGGAAGCTGGGCTGGAAGCAGAGTAGCCGGCACTCGAACCTGCACTCTGTATATGGAATGTGGGATATTCAAGCAACAGCTTAACCCGCTGTGCCACAACACCCACCCCTCAGCAAGGTATTGCCTCACACGTCTGTTCTTGGATGTGAGCATGTGTGAAGCGTGCCCGCTCACAGAAGGGGTAAAAGTGAATGGGGCCTTTTCGCCAGAGCACAGCAGTTAAGGACCTGCAAGAGGCGGCCGCTGCCTAGTGCGTGTTGGAGTGAGGTTAGCGGTCTCACTCGATTCTTGGTGGCACTGGGTGGGCAGTGAAAAGCCAGTGCCATGGGGGCCATCTGTGCCAGGTGTAACTTGATGGCCCGCGTGTGGCACAGCTTTCCAGGATGCCACTGCCGACTCTGACATCCCGTAGTAGAGTGCCAGCTGGAGCCCGGGCCCCTCTGCTGCCAACCGTGCTCCTGCCGATGGAGTTGCCCCTGGACTCGCCAGCCTGCCAGGCCATGTGGGCGAGCCCGATGGATCGGCCTGGTTCGAGCCTGGCTGTCTGGGGAGTGAATCAGCGAATGGGAGATCTCTGTGTGTGTCTCCCTGTCCCTCTGCCTTTCATGTAAAGGAGTTAAACTTCAACAATCCCTCGGGGCCCCCCTGCAGGTGTGGTGACCCTGCTGTCCGACTACGAGGTGTGCAAGGAGGGCGACGTGCTGACCCCTGAGCAGGCCCGGGTCCTGGTGAGTCAGCCCGAAGGCCTGCTGCTGCAGCCCTCCCCGGGGCTGTGGGGTGGTGCTCCCCTGGGCAGCAGCTTGGTGCTCCATCTCTTGACTCCTGGCTCCTTGGGTCTCTTGCAGAAGCTTTTTGGTTATGAGATGGCCGAGTTCAAGGTGACCGTCAAGTACATGTGGGATGCGCAGTCGGGAAGGTTCCAGCAGATGGGAGAGGACTTGCCAGAGAGTGCGTCCGAGTCGGAGCCAGAATCCGAGGAGGACGAAGACGACTGACTCAGTGCTTCTGGACTGAAGGCCTTCCAGCACCTTCCAGGACTTGGCTAGACCACGCCACAGTGCCGCTGCCACCCCTCTGCCCGGACAAGCGTGTGCTTGGCTGTGAATGAAGCCAAGTTAAGGGCAGTGAATACTGACTGTTCCCGTCGAGAATAAAACTCCGCCCACAGGCCCTCTCTGTGGCCAAGACTGTTGTCAGGAAAAGGCCTGCGGGCTCGTGCCTCTCTTTGCATTCCCAGGACCCCCTTGGGTGGCATCTCCCCCTCCAATGCCTTCTCACCACGCACTCGGGAGGGGCCGTGGGTGTGCTGTGTCCTTGCCACCTTTCTTCAGCAGGAAGTGCTGGGTGGGTTCATGTCCCACCACCTCCCACTGTGCGGGCACCTTGGGAGCATTGCAAGTCTAAAAAAGTGGGAGAGCTGGGTCAGCGAGTGGACAGGAGAGCTGGTAGTGCCCTCTGTACCCCCAAGTCAGGGCTGGGCCTAGCAGAAGTAGTTGGGGCATACGCAGACGGCCGTCTGTGTGTCAGGCTTAAGCAAAGGCCTCTGCAGGGGATGGCTCCAGGGGCCCCCTCAGCTGGGGAATGCCCAAGCTGGAGAAGGAACAGGGACGTAGGGCAGCAGAGAACTCCCCAGCTCGCTGGATGCGTCCAGGGTGGGTGGCCAGGGACACTCCTGGTGGTAATATTTAAAAGGTTTCAGAGTTAAACCCGCACCTCCCTGCCACATGCAGCTGTGAGACCTCAGTCGAGTTAAAGAACCTCTGAGCCAGCATCTTGCTTGATCACCTCAGAGAGCTGTCCCATGGGGAGTTGTCACAGGAAGAAAAACTGGCTTCCAGGAGCCCTCTACACTCTTCCACACCCTCCCAGCCAAGCTTCCTGGGTGCCCAGTTACCCGAAGCTGCAAGTGCTCATCCAACCACCAGAGGGCAGCCGAGGTCATGCTGGAGGAATCTGGTGCGGCTCGCTGCTGCAGGGGCCGGCTAAGCATTGGCTTGAGGTGGTCCTCCCTTAGGCTGGGCAGGTGGGGCAGGCCAGTGACAAAGGTCATTCCAGGAAAGCCCTCTGCCCTGCAGGCCTGGAAGCAGAGAAGGACCAGCCCGGTGTGAGTCTTACATCTTGAGCATCTGAGTGCTTGGCAGGTTTTCCTAAGCCACTCCTGGTCGTGGGCTGGGCCGAGGACACAGCAGGCAAGACTTCCCATGTAACCTGCTGCTCTAGGAGCCCACTCCCCACCTCAGAACCCCGAGTACCTGCACGTACCGTGTGCCCTGGCTCAAGTCCCGGGCTCCACTCCAGGCTCTGGTAGTGGCACCTTCCTTCCCTGCCCTCTAGTTGTTCAGCCTGAAGCCAGAAGGCAAGCAGCATGGCAGCTGTTGGCGCGTGCTTGGTTTTCCAGCAGTGAGGGCTGGACCCTGGTAGGCTACAAGCACCTAAAGAGCCACTGCTTGGGCATTGGTTCCCAAATCCAGCCAGGATGGTCAGAAACCTATGACAGGCCAGGGGCAGGACACAGGAAGGATTTGCCTTTTTTTTTTAAGAGTTATATTTGTGAAAGGCCGAGGTAAAGCTCTCCCATCTACAGTCATTCCCCAAATGCCTGCAACATCTGGTGCTAGGCTGGGCCAAGCCACAGGGCCCAACACTACCTGTGTCTCCCACAAGGTGGCAGCACCCCAAGTGTTTTGGCCTCCATCCGCTGCCTCTCTGGCTGCACAGTAACAATGGTAGGGACTGGATGGGACACAGGGGCGCAGCTCCGGGCTCCAGCTCTGATGGCAGCTCGGATGGGTGTTGGTGAACACGAAGTGGATGACCTGCACCGGTGAAGTGCTGCTGGCATACTTGGCTATCTCTACAGAAGTGAGAGTTGCTTTTGCCCTCCTGCCAGTGGGGCAAGATTGGAGAGTAATCAAATGAATCCAGATGTGTACGAAGTAGCCTTGGGGACTTGGCTCCTGCACCCTAAGGAGCTCTCCCGTGGCGCACACATAATGTCTGGATTTGCTAAGTCACAGAGACTGTGGAAACCATCTCACAGCCAACAACTTAGAGTCAAGTCCCAGGGGCAGGGCCATCCCATCCTGGGGCAGCAACAGCCCCCCTTCCCCATGCCACCAGCCACTGCAGGCAGTCACAGGTCATCTGCCTTCCCAGAGAGATGACCGCTGTGCAGGCCTCGTGGGAAGTGGTTCCACAGCTCGAGAGCCCACATGCCTTCCCGGAGAATCCCAGCTGGAGGTGGGAGCCCATCAAAGCCCGTGGGCGAGCAGGAACTGAGATGCAGGCCACCTGAAGGGAACCCCACGCGCGTCCTGCCCTGATGTGGCCCAGCCGCGGCTCGCCAGTCCTCACTGCTGTCCCCTGCTTCGGCCCAAGGAGCAGCTGTCGGGCAGTTTCCCACCCTTGTCCCTGCACTGGACTTGTCAGCATTTGGCGAGTGAAGCATTTCCCTTTCAAGTAGTGATGAAAATAACCATGCGGGTCACAGGCGGGCAGTCATTTTTTCCAGAGACGAGACTGGCCGCGCTGTGGTCCAAGTCCAACAGCCACTTGGGTTGCTTGTGTCCCACGTTGGGGGCTCTGGTCCTGTTTCTCTTCTAATCCAGCTTCCTGCAGATACCCCTGGGAAGGAACAGGCTGTGGGCTGAGTCCTTGAGCCCCTGAAGCCAGTGGGAGACCTGGGTGGTGTCCCGGGCAAGCCCTGCCTGTCCTCGGCGTCTTGGAGCCCTGGCTGCCTCACTTCCCGCCAGCCCCCTGCTGAGGAGCCGGGCAAGGCGGCAGAGCCTGGCTCTGGGGCTGAAGCCCAGGCGTGGACGGAGTTGTTGCCTCCTGGCTTCCACCTGGACCAGGCCAACTGCTGCAGCCCTTTAAAGTGGGAACCAGCAGGTGGAAAACGCTGCTTTCTCCCTCCATCGATTAGTCTGTCTTCCAAATATATAAAAACATTTTAGAAACATGTAGTCTGTTGACACAGAAGAGCAAAATGTAATCAAACCCAAAAAACAAGGAAATGTAATGACGTGAACAAATTCAGTATCTCCGGCTAAGGGAAGGAGAAAGTCCACGTTTGTCTGCCATTTATACAAAGGGGATTTACAGCGACAGTGATGGCCAGGAGCAGAATTCAAGAGTGGTAATTGGCTACGAGGAAGCACTGAAAACATAAATTACACCTCAGTAAAACTGGTGGTTAAAGGCTTATGTTACTGGGCCAAGAGTGGAGACCTAGTGGTTGAAGTCCTCACCTTCAACATGCCACGATACAATATGGGCTCTGCTTCTAATCCTGGCAGCTCCACTTCCCATCCAGCTCCCTGCTTGTGGCCCGGGAAAGCAGTCGAGGACGGCCCAAAGCCTTGGGACCCTGCATCTATGTGGGAGACCGGAAGGAGGCTCCTGGCTTCGAATCGGCTCAGCTCCAACTGTTACGGTCACTTGGGGAGTGAACCATCGGATGGAAGATCTTTGTCTCTCTTCCTCTCTATATCTGACTTTGCAATGAAAATAAACCTTTAAAAAAGAAGATTTGTGTTACTGCACAGGACAAGCTAGAATTGCAATAAGTCAGTATTACACCCTGTATATAGAATAACGCAATTAGGGCCCGGCACGATAGTGTAGTGGTTAAAGTCCCCACCTTGCATGCACCAGGATCCCATATAGGCACCAGTTCTAATCCCGGCGGCCCTGCTTCCCAGCCAGCTCCTGGCTTGTGGCCTGGGACAGCAGTTGAGGATGGCCCAAAGCCTTGGGACCCGCGTGGGAGACCTGGAAGAGCTCCTGGCTTCAGAGTGGTTCAGTTCCAGCTGTTGCGGTCACTTGGGGAGTGAGCCATCAGAGTGAACCAAAAGGTAGGCAGTTACTTTGCTGTGAACCCAGCTGTAGCTTTCGAACCAAGCAGCCTTTGTTCTTGATTAGATCTGATATCACAGAGTTTAAAAACAAAACAAAACAACCGAGTGTCAAGAGAAAATTAGGAAGACAGAACCCATCTGCTGGTTCACTCCCAAAGTCCTGGTAAGTGCTGGGGCAGGACGAGGTGGACCCAGCCCCTCGAGCCGTTATCTGCTGCTTACTACCTGTACCTTAGCAGGAAGCTGGAAGCCATTAGCAGGAGTTAGCAGTGGCCCTGGGACTCCAGCCAAGGCACTCCAATACAGCATGTGGGCATCCCTGTAGACAATTGAATGCTGGGCTAAATGCTTGCCGTCCACAGTCCCCCTCCCCCCCCCCCGGCTTATCTGCAAATAGCTTGATGGACATGCAATTCACACACATACAATCCACCGTCCAAAGTGCATAATTTAGTGATTTTTTTTTAGTGTTTGAGGATTGTGCAACCGTACCATCAGTCTTAGAATGTTCCTATTACCCTAAAGAAATCTTGTATCATAGCAGTCAGGCCCCTCCCAGTTCTAGTCACCTTCAGCCACTTCTGTCTGCTGGAGTGGCCTGTTTCGTCCATTTCATGTAAGCACACCTCCTGGTGCAGCTCACGGCAGGCACACGGTGTCTTTTTCAGAGGCTGTTGTGGTCAGGTGTGTGGAGGTAGACAAATGGAGGTTTGGGACAGTTTTCCAAACACTGTCCTATATCCAGTGCAACCGTCAGGAGACGCAGCTGACTGCCCATCCCAGCTCTGCTCTCGCAGCTCTGGGACCTAGACAAGGTCCCCGGGTCTCTCTGAGTCTCAGTTCTCCCACCTGCACCGTGGCCAGGAACTGCCTGCACCTGTCGTGAGATGCTGAGGGATGAGCATCTGGCTGAGTGATCAGAAGAGCTGGGAGATGCTGCCCATGGGGGTACTCCTGGGCAGCAGTATGGGCAAGGCTCTGCACCAGGGGCTGCAAGTGGGCAGCAGGATGGGCTATGCCCCACACCATAAACTGGAATGGGAACACGTGCCCTGCCCTCAGTGCAAGGACCAGTCCAAGTGTGGGAGGCAGGCAAGGGCACAGGTGCTGGAAGGACCCAGGACACTGACACCGAGCCCGCCTGGGAGCTCAGGAGCTTTCCTCGGAATATGCACCTCAGTCTGTAGCAGGAAGGCTGAATCCGCCATCTGCCAAGGACGGGAAGCTCATTCCCAGAGCGTGCAGCCCAGGGCGAAGGAGCAGGCCAGCAGGGCACAGATGGAGGCCGCTGCTTGGAGTC